ATGGGAAGGATTGGTGAAATGGGGAAAATCCCAACTGAATTGGGAAAGTTTACATGTTTGATATTCCTGCACATTGTTCCAATTTACCTATTGTCCTTAGCAGCTGTGTTGTATAAATTTTCTGAACATGGAAAATATTACTAAATCATCTAAAATGAAGGCTGCCATACCTTTTTTATCAACATAATGAAACATATTAATTAAAACCAGAAGACTTCACATAGAATTTATTTCTCCTTTACTTATGTAGGAGTACCTTGCCTTGGAAGAAAGCAAAAAAGCTTTCTGTAACTGGAACAGATATATAACCCCTGGCAAAGATAAACTTCAGTTGTCAATGATGGCGCAGGTGCTTTGACATGTAAAAATGAGATGTAATTGCCCAGAAAAGGTGTTCCACTAATAAAGAAATCACTCTCATGTACTAATCTGGTACACTTTACCTAAAAGCTTTACCATGTATGATATTGGTGGTTTCTGTCATTCATATTTAGATGCATGGACCCTGGTGGACGATAGTAATGATGGTTGTTTGATCTGTTGAGTGTCTCACCCCTAATTGATAATGAGATTTCCTTTCATCATTGATGCATTCTCTCTCTCTCTCTCTCTCTCTCTCTCTCTCTCTCTGTTTCAGTTAAAAAATCAATAAGAGCAAAACATTTTGCTGCAAGAATTTTCTTACTATCTTTATAAGTTGCTGATAATTAGTGAAATTGGAATCAACAATCTACAGAATTATCTGCAATAGGTCATGACCTTTAAAACCATTGATTTTATGTATTCTAGCATGTTTTAATGATGTGACAATTTTTGGCATGGTGTGAATTTTTAGACTACTGGGGCTGCAGCAATTGTTCACTGTTGTGGCAGCCCATCTGCTGCAGATGGATGTTTTCACCTAATCATCCTCCAATTTGAGCAAAACTGTCCCAAACTGCCAAGTGATTTGTCACCTCATTTCTGAACCCAGTAGTGTATTCTCAGAAACAGTATGAGATAGTCAGCAAAGTGCTATTTGATGAAGTCCTAATTGGAGTTGACTGGTAAAAGGGGATTATTGTGAGGTCAGCTGACAAGAATTTCCACAGACATGCACATTGATTAGTAATGTATGGAGGGCAAGAAATTCATAAGCCACAACTAAGCCCCTAATTGACTATGTAATCTCATACATAAGCATGCATAGGCTTCAAGGTAGCCAATATTTTCTGAAGAAGATTCCTGTGAATGTCAGACATGAACTTTTAAAACATTCTTGAGGGATGACTTGATTGATCATCAAATCAAATAATTGCCCTGTAAGTCCTCAATTTCCTTTGTATGACCATCTTTTTTCATGGATGTCTGGTTTGCATCCATGACAGAAAATAGCCATAGGATTCAAATAATTGGGAAAAAAATACTTATTCAGCAAACTATAGAGCTAGACATTTACCAGTTTGATTATTCTTGATATAGGTAATGATTCATCATAGTGAACAGAAATAGAAAACTTGCATAACTTGCACATTGCAGTTTATATGAAACAAAGGGAAAAAAAATTTAGCTTATCACTGAATGATACAGATTCAGCCATGATTGCCTGAATATATGCCAATTAAAGTTAAACAGGAAAAAAAAATACATGTATGTCTTCCAATTTATATAAAAGAAACATTTCCTGGAAGTAAAATTTACAAAATCTTGTAAATAAAAGTCGTTTCCTTCAAACCGTCATTCTAAATGAGTGACTGAGGTGCTGCGTAAGATTGGGTATCTACCAGTCAACTTATAAATCTTTCATGTTGTTGTGTTCCTGCACCTGTATTTATCGCCTAGGTAATCAGGAACAGGCGGCAGTCAAGTTCCTTGCTGTAAAAGATATGTCCATCAAACTTCTCCAGGTCTGTTAGTCTGCCATTTTCTTCAGGCAGACGGGAGGCTTGTTTTTTCCTGCAGACCAAATCACAGAGATTTATAGCTTAGCTCTACCTTCTGACTGCTGCTTTCTGGCTCACAACCATGAAATTTCTCCTGTTTGTGAAGTGAAAATGATCAAGTTGTCCAACAGTTGCGTTTGTGCAGTGATTTATGCTGAGAGCTTTGATAAGACAGAAGATATTTATTACACACTTAGTTGAATTTACATTCAATTTGGGTTTCCAATATCAATTATTTATTTCTTTTTAAAGTTCATCAAGAATTTGTGTTGAATATTTGTGTTTTAAAACTAACATGAGATTTGGCATGTTTAGGGAATAAGGAGTTTTACATGGAAAGACAGAGATCTTTAAAGCATTTATCTCATAAAGAACCCTACTTGTTCTGAACCCTTATTTCTCTCTAAGCCTCTATTATTCAAATGACAGCTATTTCATTTCTTGGTAACACATCATCATCACATAACACTTTCTCATGCACTGATACAAATTCAGCTAGCTAGAAGACATGATTGAAGAACATCAGACTCATGATAGTATTTGCATATCAGTTTGCCCTAAAAGATTGACTTCAATAAAGGAACTGTAAATCTGATTGTTCTGATTTACTGATTATGTGGGGGTTTTTTTTAACCTTTGATTATTATAAAAATCCTCCATAGTTCCTTCAGAGTACTTAGGTACTGGGCACAACATTTTTTTAGAGGAAGGAGAGAGTTAAAGGTTGAAGGAAACTTTCAAGCAAAGCTAAAAAAAAAAATTTACTAAACAAGATAGAGAGAGAAAAATATCTGAAACTTAAGTTTTATCTGAAACTTAATTAAGTTTTTCTTAGAATTAAGGTGGTAGGTCCACCTCTGATTAGTGACAACATAAAGGGAAAGTACTAGTGGAAGTTCAGCTAAGGTCTACAAAAATATAATCTCTTTACATCAGATGTCTGAAACTTGTTAGAAAACTATGACTGGTATCTTTTTATCTACTAAATGTCAGTGCTGAAGAAAGGATTTCTTCTGAAGTCTTTGGCTTTCATTGAGGCTTACACCTATTTTCTACCACAGCCATAGCAAACAGATTGGCAGTGTTGCTGATTTGTGAAAGCTTTGTCACAAGTTGTAGTCTGCACATGTGGCACTAAGTCCAGTAGAATTTATGCACATACTCAAGGTCTGGGCCTGATTAACAATTACACCCCATCACTAGTCATCCATAACCCCAACATGTCGGGAATGCTAGATATTCTCCAGAGAAATCCAGGAGGTTATTGAACTGAATTATGCAAGGGAGATTACTTTAGATGACTTGTTTTTTACAGTTTGTATGCCCTTGATTTCTTGATGAGATAGATAATTAAAATTGCAAAAAGGAAAATTCACTCATAGAGAAGTATGATTCTTTAATGGCATGGTTTTATTTCACAATATCATGATATATATATAACATTATATACAACAGTAAATGCATTCGTATTTTACAGTATAAATGGCCCTTTTAACCCTACATGTATTCCTTTTCGGCGGTGTAATCTTCACCAGATATAGATTCAGCAGTAGTGGTAGAAATTGGATATTGAATTTTATATTAGACAACTTTATTCTATGACAGCAGATCCTGTCTTGTTTTATGCTCTAAGACAATATTTATCCAGTAATGTTTGTATAGATAATAGCTAAATATCAATTAAGAAGAACATGGTATATTTGTGTTTTATCAAGAGGATTGGCTTATTAATATTGCTGGAACACATGTATGTTTAAACAAATTGAATTAATACTTTACAACTTCAATATACAGAAGTCTCCCTTGTATGTAAACAATAATGATAAGAAGCAAAAAAGAAAAAAAAATATTTAGAGCTACACCCACCAACATTTTATTATTGTGATCATTATATTGTTCTGATACTGTTATTTTCTTTTTGGTGGCTTCATGATGAAGAGGGTCCATGTGGCATGCATTTGTCAACTTGTCCCCTGGGGGGTAGATGTGGGTCTACTGTGATTTTGAGAGACGTCCCTTCAGATATATTTGACATTTTATAAAAAGTAGCAAGAAACTGGCAAATATTTCTATTAAATGGAGACACTTTATAACTGAAGGATATTTTTTTTGTTTTCCTCTAGCTATGTAGTCTCTACTTTACAAAACAAAAACTTTGGGGAGGAGGGCCTTTTCTAAAGTGCATTAACTCTTTACGTTTATTGTTTATGAACGGAGACAATTTTTTTTGTGTCCTCCTGGAAAGAAAATGAATTTGTCTTGTCATCCACAATTGTTGACCGCTCAGATTTTTGTCATCCAATGAAATTCCATGGAAGAGTATGGTGGACATTTTAATACCTAGTTCATTAAAGTTCAATGAAATTTCTGAACAACACCCAGGGAGGGAAGGTGGTGTCTAAAACTGGATATCTGTATAAAAGTGTCAACGATTGCGACATTAGCCATCAGACCCCAGGAATTAAAAGCGACAAACTTTGGCAACTGGAAATAAAAGTGAGGCTATTGATTTTCTGCCTGTCCTTTGTTGGTAAATAAGAGGAACAGTAGCAGTGTGCTCACAATTTCAAAACTTTCTGTAGATTATATTTCATGATTTATTATAGTGTCAAAAATACTCAAAACAGGATTTACTTTCATGAAGCATTTAAAGTGATGCTATTCATAACAAGTCAGAGTGGTTCTCCAGTTAAATTTATGACCATCGTTTTGAATATGTCATCTATTACGTCATTTTTGTCAGGGGTGAAAAATATAATATTGTAGTGAAAAAAACTGTCAGAAAGAGAATTCCAAACAATTTCTGCTGCAGACTCCAAAAAAAAAAAAGAATTTGAAGAGAAAAAAAATGCTTTAAAAAAGCAGGAAATATATTATCCTCCATTCATGGATAAAGCCGCCAAATGATAGAAATCTGGAAAGCTCTAGTGACAGGATTCAGAATAAGTATTTCCCTCTCTCTGCGCGGGAAGCTTTATTGTTAAGAAGACAATAGTATACTGCTTGTATAGTGAGATAAAAAAGAACAGCGTACTGTGTGATGCTGTATTACAGATTTAAATATAGTGGAGGAGGGATTTCAGTCAGACTGTACCTTCCAGAGTATAAAGTGAATACAATTGGTGGGTTGGTAGGACCTTAGCGAGATGTCCACCTATTGACTTCTGGAATACCACAGACTGTGGCCATTCATTTGAGGTTAACCTCAAAGTCGAGAATTCTTTTTTAATTTTTTGTTCCCAAGCAATTTAATGCAATAGTTTAAGAGACACTCTTCAAGGAATAAGACTACTAAAAGATTCATGGACAGGGTTAATCATTTTCACAAGTTGTCAAAAGGTGTAACTCTGGTGGTGTAAGGCTCTGCTGCCTATTGATTTTCAGGGATTATATCCACACTCAGAAGTTAATACTTATAGCACACTTTTTATGTGCCTCGTACTTCTTGTAAACATGTAAAACAGTGAGGGATATTATATTGCGATGGTACATGGAAGCATACTTACTCTTAACAGTTGGATGACGAAAGCTGTGTCATACATTGGGAAAACACCTTCTTATCTTGTTAAAGCAGCTACTAAGCCCTCCTAACCCTGTTCTTGCTGAGTAATTATTGATGGTCTTTAAACACTCATAATATATTTGTCTTAGATGATAAACAGCTATAGAAGCAAGTGCTATTCGGAGAGATTGTTGGAGGAGATATTCTGCTTTACCCTTCTAAAAAAGAGTGAAAAATTAACCTGCAAGTCAAAGCGAATGCCAATATCAACACCGGAAAGTAGGAGGTGTCCTGACATTTCTACTGATAGGCAGATTTCCTTTGGAATATATGAAAACTTTACTTACAAATGCTAAAAATTGATAAGATATATAAAAGATGTGAGGCATGGTTAGCTTATGATGGAGAAAAGGGACGGAGATAAATCATTATAAATTATAGTCAGGAACTGTTTTGGCTGATCCTAGCTGCCACCTGTCCTAATCAAATCCTGGCTCTCTTGAGAAATTGTCACTTCCTACTTTTGAGAGGCAGTGTGTGTTTTTTGCAGCGGAGAACTTTCTCACTCAGAGGAAACTCGACTTGATGTGATATTTTGATGTAATATGGTGTAAAATGACCCAATGTTTGAGGAATTAAATGGCAAAAAAATGACTTGACTTAAAAGAGTGATGTGCCATTTAATAGAATTATTTGCTATGTTCTGCATGTAAGAAGATGCTTTTATGTGCTGGAACGTGAAATTATATTTTTTTCACCAAAGTTGATGTGTGATTGTTTTCGGAAATCATTATCAATGTTAGAATTACATCAAATAATTTTTCTTTTGTGGATGTTATACATACTTAGAAATGTTGAATATGCAGAATGTGATCCCGGGTACAGGACACGAAAAAATTCATCTTCCCATAAATATGCCTTCGAAATTCCAGTTCACAAACTTGGTTTGACGTAAGTGACAATTTATTAAAATAACTTAATTTAATTAAGAATTTGAAGAATTTTAGCATTCTTTTTTATTGAAATTCTTTCAGGGTGGAAATTTCATTCCTGTGCTATTGTCTTAATCTCAATAGTTAATTTCTACTCATGTTGAAGGGTTTGCTCTAATCTTTCACACATCAGAGAATCACTGGATGTTTGAACAAGATTAATATATTTTCTTTGGAATTAAGACAAATTTTAGTAAATAAACAAGGATTATCCCCATAATGATGTGTCATCTGCGATAGTTGTTTTTCTTAACAGATGACACAACTTTCATGAAACCTCCTCTCTCTCTCTCTCTCTCTCATGAAATTTCCATTCATGCTGGAAAAAATAAAAATTTTTTAACAAGAGGAAATTATAAATTACAGCAGTGTTTATATATTGAGAAATTTATAGTTTCAACAAATGTCCTGATCTCTTGATAATCTGAAACATCATATTTTATGTTAAAAAAATTTGGATGTACTTGAGTCAACCACTTAGTAATGTTTATTAAAATAGGAAGAAAAATGGTTTAGATAATTTGGGAAAAGGCAACTTTATGATTTTTCCTGGCACTGTGTTTATATGATAATAGATGGACAAGAAAGGTGCGGTCCTTAGAAGAAAAAACAAGAAAGATTAGATTCAAAGAAAAAAAGTTCATTATTTTTAACAGTGGGTGGTCCAAAAAAGTTCTTTTTAACTGTCAAAAATATTATCTAATTATTCAAGTCTCTCCTAATGTAAAGGAACATTTAAGATGAGTTGAAATTAGAAAGAAGTAGTTGTGTAATTTTCAAAGTTTAAAAAAAAATTGGAAGTTTTGAATTGTTGCTTTTAAAATTTCTCAACAGTAGTTGGGGATAAAAAGCTTTTTTTTTTCCTTTTTAAATATTTGAAGTGTTTGACAGGCTACATACTGTCAAACTTAGTTCCTTATTTAACATCAAGTACTTGAGACTGTGTTTGTTAAGAAGTCACTGCCAAAATTGAAAGTCTTTAACCTGAACATAAAACATTCATCTCATTGAAGAGATGAAAGCTAGACTTCCTTTTCCCAGTTTTGTCTAAGTTTATTTTCACACCAGGGTTCCATTATGATAATCTTTTTATTATCTGTCTTGTTAGCAAGACAATAAAGCAATCTTAACTCATGGAAAGAGGCATTGAGAGCATTAACTCTTTACTCCTTTAGTTGTAAACAAGGTGATATGTCTATGCAATCTGACTTATAATCAGTAATATTTTGTCTCCAGCGAAAATATTTTCTAAAATTCTTGTCACCCTTTTCTCAAAATTACAAGATGAGAAACAGTCTTTTTCTGTATTTTTTGTTTTTTTTCTGTGTTTTTTTTTTTTTGGTTTGTTTTTGTTAATGTTTGTTTGTTTTTTTGTTTTTTGGGTTTTGTTTTGTTTTGTTTTTTTTTTTAAATCTGGTCATTGGTATATTTTTTTAATCATCAGAATAAAATCCTGTTTTTGAGGGTTCATCATGCATTAAAATGGAAGGTAGTTACAGTGTCGCAATTTCTCTCATAATTATTTTTTTGTATGTTTGATTATGTGATGAACAGACAAGGCAGATATTGTAATTTACGCACAAAAGGAAACAAGGTTTCAATAAGACCATATGAAATATTGATGTACTTGTTCTACGATATACAGTAATGATTAGAAAATGGCGTGCTTAAGTCATTCAACGTACAATTCGTGGTGATGAGTTTTTTATCCAATGGAATTCTGGACGATGAAGCTGTCCTTTGCTCGACTAGGTACAAGAGTTATGCTATTCAGAGAGCCTCAATTAAATGTAGAGGTTTTTTTCCTTTGCTTTCAATACAACAGCCTGATGGTATTATCCATAGCCCCATAGACAGCAATACACAATACACACTCTATAATAGCACCTATAATAATGGAGTGAGCACAGTTAATGAATCCCTCATATTGATATTAATTGACATGGGAAATGGCTTAAGTAATGGACAGAAGTCATCAATACTTTTCATGTAGAAGTACCTTTTTCTTTCTTTTCTTTTTCTCTCACTCTTACACTATTGAAAAATGCAAAAAATGCATGACTGCAATAATTTAAGTCTTGAGGTATTTTGATGCTTGATGAGATTAGAGTAAAAATTTAAATTATTATAGAATTGGCATATAAATCTGTCTCATTTCCCACAAATTTGGCATGTTTAGCACCATTTTTCATTCTCATATTAAAACACATATATTTTCCCATGTGAAGTTGACTTTAATACACAAGATTTTTCTCATTAGCAGTGTTGGATGCACCCTCAGGTCTGCTATAAAAGATATGAAGCTGTTGTGTCAAAAGTTGTGCAACTGCACTTTATCAATGCCACTGCTTTTAAATATGATACATGTCCTTTATCTCTCCTAGTTAGTTAAAACTATTCCTTGTAATTTCTGATACTCAGTACATGAGATGCACAGTTCCTAAAGATGACAGCCTGGCATTCTCCCTCCAATTATAAGAGCATCAAGATCAAAAGAACTAGATAATCAGATGGGCTTCATTCTTTTGTCCCCATTCAGCCCTTATAGTTATCTGTTTTATTTTTGAACATCAACATTCATTAAGTTAATTACTACTGTGATGATTCTTAAACAATGAGCTTAAGAGGCTGAACCATGTTTTATCAGGAAGTAGATTGTGAAATGTAAATTTTATGCCAGTTTTTGGTTGGTGTGTGGCCAAAATAATATCCCTCCCCATAAAATGTTAACATTCCATTTTAAAGGAATCCCTCTTGCAAGTATAACTTGTCTCATTAAATTACCTTGCTCTAATTGAGGATAGTTTTAAAAATTCCTTGGTCAAAAAATTAGGAAATATGTGCTAATGTAAAATGCCAGAATTTATAAAATATTATATGAAGGACTTTTTTCAGTTGGTTTCAAAATAATCACGAATAGGGTTGAAATTGCTCATTTGAATAATTTTGGTGGATATTGTGGGCCTTGTTTAATGTTTTCTGTCACATGATTGCATAGCTTTGCCACCATGGAGTGCAAAATGGGAAAATTTAACTTCTCTCCAGTCCATCACCCAAAATTTTCAAGAGTTCCTTATCTTTTAGTGCTTTTCAAATGGTGTGCATCAAACATATAATTGTTGACACTTCTAAATCTGTTTTTCATTCCATGCCAAGAAAGAAAATCATCTGACAAATGATGTAGATTATTGGGGTATTTTTAAAACAGTTCTTACATGCAGTAGATTTTATATAGAGATTTATGAGATGGGTAATCATGTTTTAACATAGTGTATGAATAGAAATGATTAACTATCAATAAGAGCAGCTACTAAATACCCATTTGTTAGACAAAGTGAAATTTAATTCAGAAGTGAAATGGTTTGTTCTGCTTTGCTAAGCTTTATATTGTTATCATGGCATGTAAATTTTAAGTAATTACAGTAAAATGCCCATAAAAATTCTGAATGTCTGTAAAGTATTTGAAAAATGATATTTGTTTAAAATATAAAACTATTTTGCAGGGAAATAGCATTGCTTCTATTTGACAGATGCTTATTTTTAATAAGATATGGTGTCAGGCCTTAAGATTACCCAAGATTATTTCTTTTTAATGAAAGATACCTCAGGAAACCAGAGTATCTTATTTATCAATTCAGCTGTGTTTGACTAGTTTTTCTTGTAACATTCACGAATTTCTAAACTGACCCAAAACCAAGCCAAAATAGATGTCATTATTGAAGAAATTCTTGTTTTTCATAATTAGAGCTGAAAAGACAAAAAAACACTTGGAACTCTTTATCAGCCCCTGTGATCAGAACCCTAATTTGATTGATGATGAATGTCTAAGCATCAGATAAAAGTTGCAATAAATATCTCAAAGATAAAAAAATATCTGTAAACTCTGCTGGAAAAATGATATCCTTCTTTCGTTAATTTTACCAGTTTACAGAGTTTATTTTAATACATGGCTTTGTGAATGAATTCATTTTTCATCACGACCAGTATCTTCATGGAGAGGATGTCTTGATTCTGAATGTGTACCTCTCCTTGTTAATTGTAGTCTGTGTTAAAAGTTCATCTTGGTCATTAGTGGGATGGGCTCTAATGATATGTTCTATAGTAAATGGATCCCCTCTTCCCTAGGTGTAAGGACCTCATACATCCTTTAGAGGAAAATCCTCAAGGTGATTCTCTAGCTCTGTTGAAGCGATATCTGGCTTGACTTCAGATAGTTCATTTACATGCGTTTATAAATTTTAACCTTAAACCCATAATTTGTAGGATGAAAATGCTTTGTTTTGTTTGAACCTTGCCACAAGGCAAGAAGAAGTCATTGAAATATTATACCTCGATTAGACAGATTTTAATGCAGTAGTTCCACATATGTCTCCTGAAGTCTTTATAATTCTTGGTTCAAAATATATATCCTGCTCTTTTTTTTTGAGAGAAAGAGAAAAAAAAGAAACAGGATTATGCAATCATTTTTGACATATTATATTATTTCTGGCAAAGTTATTGCAACAGACAGTCTTTAGAAAAGTGGGCAGATGTCCATTGAGCAGTGCCAGGCCAAAATAAATGGAATAGTAGTATGATTTCCTGGTATGCTTTATATAATCTTATTTGTTTACCCTCCTTTTTGTTAAAAAGTAGGTGTTAAAATCCCTTGTATCCCCACCCTCCCACAGAGGAAGTCCTGCAAAGCATTTCAATACAATTTGTGAGAAAGGGAAACCCTTCCTATTACATACTTTAATCCCCCTGCTTCCCCTGAATAGGAACATAATTGTATACAAATGATACTATTTAGCACCAATTTTTCTAACATGAGAGTTAGGGTACAATAGATTGGAAATGGTTAACTAGAATGGATAGTTGATTGCCCCATCTGTTCTGTGGTATTTGGGTTTGTAGCAATGAACATTTCAAGGTAATGATCAGTATGTTGCTCATTTTTTATCCAAACTGAACAAAACCCTCTTTTTCACTATATCTTGGTGTACAGGTTTTCTCAAAATTTTATAGCTATGAATATCGATTATATCAAGTAATAACAGAGGGCACTTTTAAATAGATGACTGATATTGTATTATAATTTTTTTCTTTTCTTTTGCAGGGAACTATTTGATGATGAAGGTAAGATGTTTTCTGGCATTTTTTTAATAAGTCAAATATCAGAAAATTAGGACATGCATGGGGATATCAAATTATGCATCAGAAATAATTGGATAAAGTGATTGGGTTATACAAGCATTAATTGCCCTATTTCAGAGTTTAGAACCCAGATGGGGAATCTATATAGTTTGTAATTTCATTAAGAATGGATGAAGTCATGAAAAAACAAATGTTGAACTTTATCATATGAAAATCTGCACACGTTTTATTGGATAATCCATGGATTTTTTAATAGTACTGGCACATGTCCTGATAACATCTTCCCAAAATATTTCATGGATAAATTATAAATTCCCTGCAGATTTGGACACATTGAGCTGTTTGGACCCCAAATCAGTCCATAAAACATCACCAAACTGGTGTTTCCTGGACCAGAGAGGGAGATCCAATGTGTCATGTTGCAGATGGATTTCTGCAATGATAATGATTTGTGGGCATAAATCCTGTTAAATTCTCATCTCTGAAAGTGCAATAGAGAATAAAGAATGCACAAATGTCAAGAGATTCTTTGTTTGAAAAATTGCATTTGCATAATGATGACTGGGTTCAATGCTGTTGTGTTTCTGGATTGGGATGTTGTCTTCCTGGCAGAGTAGATCATACATTTTGAAGGAATATTAGCTCCAGATTCAAAGCTTTAGGGTCTGAAAAAATTGAGATGGTTACCCCTTCCTTTTTCTTCAATTTAGTGAGCTTAGGAACTGCAATCATGAAGGAATTCAAAGTTAAAGGAAACTGACCAATTAATAGAAAACACTATTCTTTTCTTCCTAAAGAGGCATTCATGGTCAGAAGAGACAGAATAATCATTCACAAAACTACAATTTCAAGGAGAGGGGGGAGGAATTGAAGATTTTTTTCTTAATTTTCTTTATTTCTGTTGTGTGCTCTTATCTTTAGTTTCCCTGATTGTTGATTCTAATAATTGATAATCAGAACCTTTGGAGTCTGTTATTTTCACCCTTTTCCCTTTCAGTGAGATTATAAAATCAATATGTCCAGGTCTTACCTTGATTGGATGTGTGAAAAGGTAGCATGCCTTACAACTAAGAGATTAAATGAAATTCCTCTTAATTAATCCCATGTTGATTATCTTACAGTAAGAAATTGGCAGATAGATATAAAATATTCAAATCTTTGGTATTCATTGAGTGAAGAAGATCCTATCTACCTTCACTGAATAGTAAATAATTAAAGAAAATAATGGAATCAGCTCTTCTCAGTGTATTTTGTGAGCTTCCTTGGTATTAATCTGTGCATTTTAAGTAGGTTTGAGACTTAATTATACTTGATATAAGTTAGTCTAAGAATATATAACATTTTTTTTAATGTTCAGGGTGTCAAATTTTGAGGCATATTTCTTGGAACTGTGATAAATAAACTAATAAAACAATGCAAACAATGGCATCAATGATCATTAATAGTGAAATATTTATGAATATTGAAAATTTTGAAAAATAATTAGGGATTTTTTTTATCCATAATTACATAGTTATAAAGAAAAAACACTCAGAAATATTCAAAGTAAATCAATAAAAGGAAAAGAAAAAGGATTCAGTAGATTTATAATCTTAGTTTTTACACAGAATTGAATAAATATTTGATGAGCTAACATTTCCTGTACATTTGATAATCTAGTGCTAACAGTAGAAGATCATGTTTCTAGCTAGTTTGGGGTATCCTAGGCTTGCAATGTTCACCATAAGTGTTTGTACACACTAGTAATCATGCAAAGTCAACTAGAAAATCATATCATTACTTGTCAATGTCCACACACTTCAGTTAAGATCCACACACATCAAACTAAAAGGTCTTAACAGTGGAATTCAAATTTGACAGAATTTGACTGAAATACAGGTGCTATTTCTCTTCTTTTAGAATCTTTTTTGGTTTTCAATATATATATAGTATAATATACTAAGATGAAGTTTCAGTATTTTTATAATGAATATATGCCAGGGTACATTATTTATTTGTATAAGGCTTGTAAACTGGAAGTATGGAGATCTTTTTGAATAGCTTATAAAAATTCATCCTGGATGTATTCTATAGCTTTCCAAATGAGTCAAGTTTCAGTGTTGAAAGACCACTTACGTAGTTTGGTTAAATTCAGCTTAGATTCTCGACATTTTTAGTGTGGTCTTAAAGTGCAACCTGATTTAGTTCTGCTTTGTAAAGGATGGAAAGGTTGGATGGTAGAACTTTTTCTTAACATTGACAGATCATCAATTTTCTGCAGATTCGTAGATGTTTTATTGCAATTTAAAGACAGGTTTCAAGTTTTTGGTCTTACAAATAAGTGAACAGAGGTCGCTAGGCTGATATGATCAGGGTATTTGTATTGTAACAGAATGTTTCAAATAATAACTAAGCTGAAAGAAGAAATAATGAAATTGCCTCAGTTGTCAGACAGCCACTGTTAGATGTGTGATAAGCAATTGAAATTGCTGTTCTCAGGTGTTGAGACAATTACTTCTGACAAGCTGAAATTTAGCAAAAGAATCCCTTGTGGCCCCAGAGTTTACAATGGCCACTGGAATTTTCAAATTTGAGTAGAAAATTGTACTTATATTAGGTTTAACTGTAACAAACTCGGATGTCTTGGTGGTGTCTCAGGGTTTTGCTGCTTAATTAGGTGTTTTATGTCTGCAGGGGAATAAATTTCAGGACCAAATGTAGACTTGTCATGGCTAATTCTAAAATCAATGAAATGCTGGTTAAGTTCTCTTTTTCCAGTTAGACTTGAAGCAAGAAAAACGTAGAAACCTCACAATATTGGAAAAAGTTTCTGTTGGAAAATTAACTTAAAAGCTATGAAATTTATTAATAGATATTTCAACTAATAAACAGACTTAGTCTATAAACTTTGTTAAAAAAGATTTTAAATAAAGATGAATGAAATGGGACTTGGTTTATTGGATTAAGACATCTTAGATTCTAATTGCAGTAATATTACAAAATAGCTCATAGATCATTAATGAACCAAACTCAATGTTTTAAGTTATTCCCATTGAGAACCAATCAGTCAATCAAAGTCTTGATGCACCTCAAAGATGCACTTTACAGTTTATGTCTTTCAGGAGTTACATCCCCTGAATGGCAATGGATCAAAGGCCTGAATTTACCTATAGGCAACAGATTAGTCCACCTGCATCTTGTCCATAATTTCTTACTGAAATAAGTGTTTCTTGACCTGTCAAAAGATTGTTTGTTGTAGTATAAATAATGTGTGGAAATTTCTAACCCTGAGTCAGAAAAGCTTTTAAATTAAGTGCCAGAGCATAATAAAATCCAAATCAAGTGTTTATTAACTTTCTTTGCACTGAAAATAAACAGATCATCATTGATTGTACATTTGGCAGGCCCCAAAAATTTATAGAACATTTTAACATGAACGATTGGGAAGAGTTATTGTCTGTACTTGAAAAAGGAGTCTTTGAAGTACATTTCTTAAGGAAATGAATTGGAGATTTGCATGGGTATTTCAGGAATGGAAAGATACTAAGCTTAGGTCAGAGAGAAAAAAAAACATTGTATGGTTTATTTATTTTATGTGATAATATGTCATGTATTTCTATAAATTGTTGGCATCTGCATTTCCGGAAAAAAGGCATGGTGCATTAAGAATAGTTTTAGGGTTTGGACAATGACAAATTGCTTCTTTGGGGATTCTGGAAAGTTTCGTAAAGAAACAAGTATATTCTTTGAGTGATTTATATAAAAATTTAAGACACATTATGCAGCAGTAACCTATGTGTGGGTTTGTTGCAATTTTTTTTCTTTGTTTGATTTGAAATGCACCAGATGGGGTTCCTAATGCCTCTTGATAAATCTTTAACTAGCAAAAAGACTTGATGAGTGTCAAAGCTAATTTATATTTCAATATAGAATAATCTGATGTTGTGTAACTCATCAGAAATCCCACCCAAAGTCAAGCCGGCAAAATGGAATCTATGATAAACTCCCCCTGATTTAGTGTTGTTATATTGTTCAGTTCCCAATCTGGATGTCACTGAAGTCACATTTATTTAGTTTTGGTCATGAATTATGTCCTGAGCAGTTGCTGGGTTCTGCAGTTATTTGTGCTACAGATAGGTTGTTAGTGGTAAAATTGATTGCTTGTACCCTGTAGTATTGTCCAATATGCATGGCAGAATCAAATATTTTTCATTGCTGTATTGCTTTACTCATGCTGATTGTTTAATGTAAGATCCTACTAGGACAGGCATAGCCATAATTCATAACTTGCCCCCATGCTGAGTTAGGATTCTTCCTGATGGGTTGTATAGAAAAGAAAATGAGTATCTTTCATACATCATATGCATCTCTTGTTGACATGATATGTATCGGTATCTTTTTTTCTCTACTGTGTATTCAGTACTCATTAAGTAATTGTGTATTCAGCTGCCAGAGACAATCAGGGTCAATGTGGATGCTAGAATTGGAGAAAAAAAATCAATTTTCTTAAGCCATCTGAAAATACACAAAGCTGTGCTTAATCTCAGCTGGTAGCAAAATGTCACTTAAAATAATTGACCTTTTTAGATGCGTAAATTGTGTGAATGTACTATGTAGCAATTGTACGAGGAGTGTTCCCATCAATGCTACAATACATGTATGTGCTATTAGAAGTGACCTTAGGCTAATAAATATTTTCATGATGTCCCTTTTTTCTTTTTAGCATTATTGCATCTGTTCCTAACTTTGGATAGAATAATCAGATGTTAATGATGTGATAGGGTAGGGCAGCTAGGGCTTCTTTTAACAGACTTTCTATCATATGGATGAATGACAAAATGTATGTTTTCATTTTTGATTATACTAAGAGATAAATCTAGATGTTGTGAAGTTTCTCACGTAATTTGCAGATAGTGGTTTCATGTAAAACATAAAGGTTTCATGTAAAACATAAAGTTATCTCAAACTCAAACATTTGTGTATGCAGTGGAATTTGTATGCACATTTTTTTATGTATTCATATCAGTTGTATCTTATTTATATCAGTTGGCATGATGTTGAATCATTAAATATGATTTTCAAAAAAAAAAAAATTAGTGAACAAAGAGTACTAAAGTATCCAAGATCTAAAAATAAAATGCACAGTGTGAAAAAGCCTATGTGATTAAAGCATGCCTCCTCCCCCACTGCAGTCGAAGATGGTGGGTGTAATACATTTATCTCTCTCTCTCTGCATATGGTTATGTCAAGATAAAGACTTTAATATATCAAAAAAATTCTTTAGTTAGTGTACTACACAAATCTAGTTCCTTTCATGAGTTTAGCAAGTACAGGTCAAGGCCGCATGATAGTTCTAGGTCGTACTTATAAATCAAGGCCAAAAGTCAATTAAAATTAGGCAGTACCACTTCAGTTAAATATCTGTATTAATTTGAGTGTCAAAATCCCTTTACTGTAAATTTTTATATTTTTTTAATATTTTTTTTATGATAATAAAACAAGTACATGTATTAAAAAAATCAAATTCTCTTTAGGCAATGGAAAGGCACTGTTGAACCTGGACTTTGCTATGAAAAACATCACCAAGTACAAGGGAGAAAATGTTCGTATTCGCTGTGAAATTTCTGGAAATCCTCTGCCACGCTACAAGTGGTACAAAGATGATGTACTTATTGGAGAAAATGAGGACCGCATCAACAGTAAACTTACTCCCTGGGGAGCAAGGTATTGATCCTCTTTTTCATCAAACTCCTTTTACTTTCTCTAATGCTTACTTAGCACAGGTAAACTCTATGTTTCAAATCTGATGTCTGAAATGTATTTTAAGGTACATTGACCCTCTGATAAGACAGATAACTCTTACTTGGATCAAAAACTATTATTCCTTTATGAAAATTTCAAGTTAAAAAGCCATTTCTGTTCAATTTTGTCCTGCAAGGCTTGCTAATATTTGGTGCATTTTAATTACGAATTAGATTTCTTTCGTAAAATCACTGTGTTAAGACATTAAAACTTTTATATGAGTGAACAGAGGGATAAAGAATTGAAATATAGGACACTATTACAAATAAAAACTGAATTCAGTTTTACAGGATGATGGGAGGTTTTTTTTTCTTTGAAATTGTAGGAGAGACATAAGTCAGTCATTACTAGCTCAAAGAACAAGAAAATGTTCTCTTTTTATTTCATTCTTGCATTTAGAATTTTTTGACTGAGATATTTAATAGCAAAGTACATCTGTGCATTACATCAGAGAAGTTTTTCATAGTCCAGTATGTCTGCCAAACAGATGTGTGACAATAAAATATCTTTATTTTTTGCTGTTAAGCTATGCGATACTGCTTTATCTACCAAAGTAATGCATCCAACAAGTATTGTTAAAAATATAAAGCAGTGAATTTTAAAGAGGTTTTGAAATATGTTTATCAGGTATTTATTAAACAAAAAGTGAGACTGGACACAAGCATTTTTAATTTATACTGTCAGGTTGAAGATAGCCAATGCTGATGTATTTGACAGTGGATGGTATATGTGTAAGGCCTCAAACAATGCAGGAGAGGTCAACACAACAGGATATCTATTGATTAAAAATGGTATTTTACTATTGTTGTACATGTATAGCATGATTTTTTGACAGTTATATATATTCTGTCACTCTTAACAATTTCTGTGGATCACTTGATTTTCGTGACAGCTTATTTTTGCAAGATTGTTAATATTTGTTTTTTATAGGTGAAACAAAATTTTCATGAATTTCGGTCTTTGCTCTATATAACCTTATATAATCTTTAATAATACTTATATACTTGAGAATGAAATTTTTGCGAGCAGTCTCTCGTTATTACGTGAAAATAAAGTTCTCATGAATAAAAAGTGATTTACAGTACTTTGAAAAATGTTAATGCCACAAAACATTTAAGTATAAATAAAGTAGTCGTTGTTATGTTTAATGTAATTTTTAGTTGCATTGATCTGGAAGATTTTAGTAAAGTAGACTTGCATGGTGAAAGAAAAACAGCTCATTGGGTTAGAAAGAATATTTTTAACAGAATGTACTTTACAAATTTTGATATATCTAACAGAGTATCCTCCTAAAGCCAAGAATCATGACAAAGGCCATGGACTGCCGGACATAATTCCTGATGACACAGACATGTATGTATATAAAAACTTACTGTAAAAAACTGGTTCTCTGACACAGATTCTTTGTCCATAGTGAGATTTCTGTGAATTCATTATACGGACCACCACAAAGTTTCAGGGGAGTATACTTGACTCATCCTATCTGTCTGCCTATCTGTCATTGCATGTCTGTAGAGGCTTATCTCATGGGATGTCCAAACTAACTTGCAGAAGTGGTGCTTATATGGAATATTATCATGTTTTGATTGTACCATTGCATGGGGTATCTGCCCAATTATGACAATTGTATTTCAAATTAAAATGGTCTGAACATCTCTTTCATGATTTAAATTCTTATAACAAGTTAAAATAATTGAGTGAAAAAAATAACTGTTTGGATCATTTATTATATTTTAAAGATAACAGTTCCCCTCAAATGATTTTATTTTAAATTAATACCCCCCCCCCCCCACCCCCACCCGCCTTTTCATGACCATCTTAAATGTGCCTGACTATTATACATAAGTGCCAATTTGTCGATATTTGATTTTGTGTGGAACCCTTATATATAAAAATTTATTTGAATTTAATTGCAATTAACCATTATTAACTGTATTTTATAATACAATGACTTGCTGTTTAGTAAAGCAAAGAGAATTTGGGCAGAGAACCAGTTTTTTCTTTAATGTACATGATCCACCTGTCATGACTGCATGTCTGTAGATATGAAATAAGGGGGCAACACTTCAAAAATATACATTTATCATGAATGGGTGGAAAAGTTCTGAAAAATGAATATTCCTTGGTATTTGATAATGAAATGTTATTTTAGACATTGCTTCATTTTCCTAGTGGGAGTCATCAAACTGTATTAAAAAATTGATCACTATTAATCAAAATTCTTGTCTGATCCTTACATTCTTCATCAAAGTACCCATTTACATAGATGATAAGTGAATTTGTTTGCATTTTGATAAAAGTGTAAAGAAAACAAATGTTGCTAGATATTGCTAAGGGAGAAATGATCATTGGACTGTTTTATGTTTTCTGATGTTAATCTTTTTGGTGAGTGCATTTTCACACTTTTCATTATACTATATGTGATGTTAATGTTTTTACCTTGTGCCATGAAAACAGTTCATCAACAAAGTAATAGTGAGCCAAGTTACTGATACCATCTACTGTAAGCTGCAAGAGTGACATTACAAAGCCAAACTGAACACACTCTTCAGATTTTATTTCATATCTAATTTGGGGGGAAACGGGAAAAAAACATAGTCAGTGAAGTAAACTGGTAGACTTTTTTAAGCGCAATTCATACACAGAGGACTGTATTTATATGTATTTTGCTCTAAAAGAACTAGTTTTATTTGGTATAAAAATTTACTTATTTCTTTCAAAAGCTTTTCTGGGAAATACAATAAAGATGTATACGAGACGTAAGTATAGCTGTATCTTGTTTGGAGGTTGTATTCATACATCCTTTTGTGCTTCATCTATAAGCTTAGTCCAATATACCTGCATTTTGATGATACTTTTCATTGAATTGCATTCTATGCAAACCCTCTACCTCAAGTGAAAGGGAGATAACTCTATTTTGCAAAATGAAATTGTTATAACAAAATATATAATCATGCATTTGCCTTTTTATTGTGGCTTTTGTGTTATATTGTTGTCTCAAGTATATTTTGCATTTTTTTATTATTGATTTTTGATAAATTGGTTTAAAAAAAATGAACAAAAAGAACTACAACAAAAAAGATTGAAACTAGTTTCTCCCATTCTTACTACCCAGTAAATTGAATAAGAAAAGAAAATGTAGTTTTTCTTCAACCAATGATAGAAAAAAGATAGCTACCCTTTTATGAATAGAGGTGGCATACAATATATGCTTCTAAGTAGCTTGCTTGATGGTGGGGAATACTTTTCATTCTTTGTGTGTAGTGTCTTCTGTGCTTTTGTGTGGTTTTACAACATTTCTCCTCTTCATTATATCTACATATGTGTGTGTATTTATATTCAGACAAATGTATATACAAATTTATTACATTTTCAACAGTGAAATAGTGTAATTTTTTAATGAAATAAACATGATATTTTTTCACAGTGAGTAAAAATATCAGTGATATTTTTTCACATTGTGAAAAAATATGAACAGTGTGGAAAAACTCGACATTTTCCCTCCCTTCATGAAGAGTTTTATTAAAAATACTCCCTAGCTTGTTGTAAGATCGCAATAGTAAATAAACCAAAAATCAACCTGACAGAGACAAAAATTGCCAAAGTTTCTCAAATCTATATGTCCACAATTTTCAACATCACAATCAATTAGCTATGACATCTCACAACCACTCATTAGTCTCAACTATGAAGTCACAGCCTAGATTGACAGCCTTGCTTTACAAAAAGACAAGCAAAAGAAAAATCAAAGAAAATGTAATAAACAGATAATTTGATGTTTTGTAGTTGAATATAGAATTTATTTTACTCATGAGGCAGAATTTTTTTAAATTTCATTTGTGCTTTGCACTAAGGAAAACAAAACAAATCCTGTTCCCACTTGTGAAATAAATTCCATATCCAACTACAAAGCATTGAATATTTTCTATGTATCTTTCCTTCACTAACATATGCTAGTTCTTTTTATCTTATAATCATCAAGTATCTGTATTTATTGATTTTAAACAATGCAATTTTTTCCAAAAGATTAGAAATATCAAAGGGGGGATATTGATTGAAAAGGCAGCTAGTGTAAGTTTGTTTTGTGTACTCTAAAGAAATTATTTTCCTTATTTTATATGCACTAGCTAAGACTTTTTCCTCTTTTCTTCTTTTATGTGTTCTTTGTAGCATTTAATAAAAAGGCAAATGTATTTTGGAAAGGCTTTTTAACACTGCATATTGTACTTGGAAAATATTTATATCCTTAAGTATATGGTAATGATATGAAATTTTATTCTACAGTGCAAGCATATTTTGGGGCTCATTATTTTTTCAGCAAATATATATTTTATAGCAAAAAAGTATAAAGAAAAAATATTTTTTTCTTCTTTTTTTTTTTTGAATTTTTTTTTCTTGAAAGAATGTGAACTTAAAACAACAGCATTCACAAGAAAGCAAGTAAAAAATTTCAAAATTAAATATTATCCAATGAGGCTGTGGATTGATGGTATCTTATTTTACAATGGGAAAGTTCGAGAATTATAACTATTTCACTCTGAAAGCAAAGAAGTTGCAATCTGCACATAATTGTAAGATAGATTTAGAATATCATTACTGAACAAATACTTAATGTCTATTAAAACTATAGAACTTGTCATATTTTGATCACAGGTACCAGGAGAAGGACAAGAAATCCAAGGAAAGGGGGGATGGATTTTGTCAGACATTTAGGGGAAACACCTGTGCCAAGTTCTTTGGGAATCAGAGCATCTATGTAACATCTGAATATTCACAAGGAATCAAAGAAAATAATTTTATCAGTAAGAAAACATATCATAGATAACATATCAACTGAAATTTAAGATCAATTTGTTGCCAAGTAAATCTTAATTTTGTTGTCAAATGTTATTGAATTGCCTGATTTTTTTTTAGCCAGAATGAAAGATAACCTTATCATTAAAGTAGATTTTGAAGAAGCACTATTTTATTTCTTCTATTTTTCATTTCTTCCTGTCTTGAAATGAAAATCCACTCTCTTCTTTAGGTGGTTTAAAACATTAATATATCCACAATAAGACAAAACAATTTCACATCATGATTAACTTCCCCTGATCATTTATTTGTTATGGTACTGATATTGTTATAATTACATCATTGCAATGCAAGAGTACCATTGATTGTGTAGGTTTATAATATTGCTCTCTGACTGATTAACCTTGTGACGGCAGTAACATGATAAAATGGGCTCGTATAGCCAAGGGTGATTTCCTGGAGGACAGCCTCAACATTTTAAAGTGGACGAAAAATTCCAGGTTCCTATAGCCAAGGGGGTTTTAGCATAGAACAGCCAGAGATTTTGCACAAAAAGTAAATTTTCAGTAACGTCCTCTGAATTTTAGAAATATTTTAAAAAAGTGAATGATTTTTCTTGCAAATGTACATGGACATTATGCTTATCAAAAATGTGTAGATACAGTGTATAAACAAGGTTTAATTTTCTTTAAAAAAAAAAATAGATTAAAATTGCATTATAGATATTTTGCAAATATTTAGAAAAACTGTATATAACATATTCTACAAAATCTTCATGAAAACAAGTTTATCTTTTTCAAATCTGGAATGCAATTTCTTTAAACATTATGTTACATATATGATATATATGTATATGGAATGTATTGTGAAATGAAAAAAGTATTACTCATTTTTATGTTGCGCATGTGGCTATAAAAGGGTTTTTTTTTTCTATCTCTTCTATAAGGTGGTCCTTTGGCTATGAACAAGGAATTTTATATCCATTTCATTACGGCTGTGTGGCTCTAAAAGTGTTTGGATGTCAAAAGGATATAATTGGTATTTTAGGTGGATTTACCATAACTATAAATCCTATTGATATAATACTATTTTTTAGGTGGATTTACCATAATTGCCTCTTCTAGTGAGATGTCTACCACTTGTCACCAGTACGCTATACCATTTCTGTGTTACTATACATTCCCACCGTGTGACCACACCTCAGATGAGCCTCGTCCACGACAGGTGTGTCGGGACGAATGTGAAGAACTAGAACAAAACATCTGCATCAAGGAATATAAACTGGGAATGATTCATCCAGAAATTGGTAAAGATTTTAACAGAAATGATGAAATTGGTTCCTCTCACTTTTTCAAATGATATCCAATCTCATGTCGGTCCACCTTTACTCAGGAAATTCACTGTAAGGCTGCAGCAAAGTATTGCTTTACAGATTTTTTTTTATATACCAGTTTCTGCAAGAAGCACTTTTAATACTCTGAGAATTTTTAACCATGACCCATCGGTTTTTGAATGTTAGCATAAGTGGTTAATTCAGTTCAAGTCCCAATGCAATTTACCATACAGTGGGTTTCTCAAATGGGTTTAAAATTTGGCATTTGGCTTGTTCAAAGGTATGCCAATAATTCTGGCAGACCTTTTTTTGGCAGACATGGAGTTCCACAATATTTCGAACTAGTAGCTTAATTTTATACCATTTAAAAGGAGAGTACAAATCAGGTATCGTAAATATGTAAAGAAACACTAAAAACAATAATTGTGCATCAAAATAATTCAATGAAACGTGAAGGTAACAAACAGTGATCATGCTCAAAGGTCCATTTAAACAATATAAATTATGAGCAGAGCCAACACGACATCTGAAAACATCCCCTGTTATCCGAACACACTGAGTCAATTACTGTCATGATGAATTTAGTGTTGACTCAAATACTGATAAGTGCAAAAAGAGGAAGTTTGTAACTGATCAAAGTTAACTTTCTTGCATTTAGTACTTATATGAAAGGGTGCAAATTTAGTGATTAAAATTTTAGCTGGCTACTACAAAACTGCTGAAATACACCAAAGTTAGCTCCCTGCTAAAAATCCCACCATATGGTATGTGTTCACTACTGATAAATGCCTTACATGTATGTTTTCAGGTCTATTATATGTTTATTTCTGATAGATGATGCCTTGTGTTTTCAAGTCTACTGATAAATTAATGATGCCTTATTTTTTCAAGGTAAGCAGCTTCTTCCTATTTGTAAGGACTTGCCTCCTGTAGGAACTCCAGAGGGAAACAACTGTGTTAGGATAGGAGTACCATCCCGGACAAAATCAGGTCAGTCTTATGTACTTATGTAAGAGTGAATGAAGTGATAGAGAGAGTGTCAAGAGATGAATTTCCCTGGCTTTATCTCCCTGTGTTCTGTCTTGTGTTATGCATGAGGCTATGTATGTCTCCTTTGATTTACTACATATAGAGAACATGCATACAAGTCCAATACAAAGAGTTACTCGTATTTAGCTACCTATTTACCTAGTTAAGTAGGTACTGTATATATAGGGAAATTATGGCCATGTTTTATTTTTACCCTCATGATCAGAGGGCATATTTGTTTGGGCAAATTTAAAATGAGTGAAATTCTTTGAAAGTGTAATGGGGTGAAAAATAACCTTGTAAACAAAATTTTAATCAACGAAGAGTAGAACAAATCAATTGTATTAAAATTGGCCTTCGACTGTCATGAATTGGTGTATACAAGCATATATGGTTGAATGCACTTGAGGAGAAGCTTTCTTGAATATCTTCTGTATTGATTAACTTATTAAAAAAATTAAAATTAATTTTTGGTGATTTTTCTTTCACAACTTAATGTATGAATATTCATTTATTTAGTGCTTTATCGATAGGCTATCTGGTCACTGATCTATTTTGAGATCATAGTTTAACAAATACACACAAAACATTTTTAAAATATTTTGTTATGCTTGTTTTTCTTTTTACTTGTAATGTGCTCATGCATCTTGATAGAAAATAATGTGTCCATGTTTCAACTGTTCTTCCTTTGTTATGAGTGTACAAGTGTTGCTGTCTAACAGTCTATGCTTACAAATATGTTGTTAATTAACAGTGTGGTATGGACAAAATGAAGGCAATCAAATCAATGGTGGATATGATATCCCAGGTAAGCTTAACCTGACTACAATAGATTTTGAGAGATTTTCTTTGTATGAACTTCACAAAATAGAAAAAGTGTGCAAGTTTCCATGGGTTAGCAAGAGAAGTTAACAATTACCATAAGCAGATTGTACCCAGTGTTAAGGACATACGCAATGTACCTTACCTACTGATAATTTTTCAAGATATTCTTAATTTAAGATTATAGTGCCTTCAGAAGTTCGTAGATAAAAAATCAGCATGCATTACCAGGGGTTTTGAAAAGATATCAATTGATGAAAATTCTTGTATAATTCAAAGAAAAATATACAAAAATTACTAAACATATATTCTAGATGTTTTATGTATCCAAACTTGTTTTAGAAGAAGTGTACAACAGCATATATAGACATTAAAATGTAGCACACAGATCCTTTAAGTATTGGAACTCTTCAACTCCATTGAAAAAGACAATAAAGTTCAAACTACGTTGCGTATGTCCTTAATTTTTGATCAAGAAAAGCTCCATGAGAGTTATTGCCCTTTCATATATATATCCCAGTTACTGTTTAATATTAATACATAAAGAATGAGGTTGATAATAAAGCAGGAACAGTTAATGTAAATTGACCATGGTAATTAATGTACATGTAGTAAGAATACCTTAATTTGGGGTGCAATTTTAAGTTTTGATCTCTGTTTATCTGTCAGTCCAGAACATATTAACCCACATCAGAACTTCTGAAGTATGCACAGGATCAAAGAGGCATTTTTCAACATCTAATTGGGCTTTAGTATTTTATAAACACATTTCTTATCTGTTAAAAATACCTGAGACTCATTAAATATCATATAAGCTTCAATTCATTCTTTGTAACAGTTTGGGCTGTATGGACCGTGGGCATTAGCCCGGGTAGCTCGGTGGTTAGAGCATTTGAATAGTGATACATGGGTACCAGGTTCAATTCCCAGTCCAGCCATATGTTTTTGGGGTTTTTTTGTTCCTTATTCAGGTTATATGTAAATTAGTAATTTCTGATAAGGTGAACTTTTGTTGTGTGTCTTTGAGGTCGAAGACTGTTTAAGGAGGGAGGAATGTAGTAGGTTGGGCTATATGGACCATTAATATTGACCTGGGTAGCTCAGTGGTTAGAGCACCTGACAAGTGATACAGGGGTCCCAGGTTTGATTTCAGATCCAGCCATATATTTTCTTTATTCATTCCTCATTACCTACTAATTTGTTGGCCAGTTTGGGGGGCTTAGTTCAGGTTATATGTAAATTAGCTATTCCTGACAAGGTGAACTTGTATTGTTTTGTCTTCAAGGTCGAAGACTGTTTAAGGAGGGAGGAATATAGTAGTTTGGGCAATATGAACCATGGATATCAGCTTGGGTAGCTCAGTGGTTAAAACTCTGACTAGTGATGCAGAGATTTTGGGTTCAACTTTCAGTCCAACCAAATATTTTCTTTATTCATTTTGCCTTTTCTATTACAATACCAAAAGAAAATAATCGCCACATTGATGTTTTTTTAATCAAGTCTGTTTCAAAATTAGTAAATATCAAAAAAAAATAATCACCACATTGATGTCTTTTGAATAAAGTCAGTTTCAAAATAAGTAAATAAATGTAATTTTTTTTCCCTTTTTCAGAACGCAGTTGTTATACAGGGAAGGGAGAATACTATAAAGGGACTCACCACAGAACACTAACGGGGAAAATGTGTGTCAACTGGCAAAACAATCCAAAGTTCGCAGACCATAAATTGCTGGGTGAGAATACAGGAATTATCACAGCTGTTCATATATTGATGAATCTTGATAATTATGATAGATTTTTTTTTTTTAAATTACCGTGTTCATTTTCAGTAATGTAATAAGCATCAGGGAGAAATAGTTTTTAAACAAAATCATGGAATTCATTACAAAGCAATTAAAATCAAAGAATTCTGTCTTAAACTTTTATATTATGTACTAGTAATTATAGATAAATTAAATCATCATAAAAAGTAGAATCTATTCAAATATTTTGACAGGGAACCACAACCAATGCAGAAATCCTAATCATGACCCAAGAGGGCCTTGGTGCTACGTTGACCATAACTTCAAACACAATGAAACCTGTGAAATCCCACGTTGCAGTAAGTGTAAATCTGAGTTTTGATGTTTATATTAAGGGTTTTACAGATTTTTTGTAGGCAAGACTAAAGTACACCACATGTATAAATATGTATGCTACTTTATTAAAGTATATATTGTTAGGGGTCTGCTGCATTTATAGATCTGTCTGTCTTTGAAAAATACATGTATTAATTTTTAGACATTGAACCTTCATATTCTGCTTCTACAACTTGATTCTGTAAAATTTCTGCCGAAACAAAAATATATATAAAACAAGGGCACTGCAAAACCGAGCATACCCTCGTAAAAGAGCACATTGATCTTGAAGTAAATTATTACTTCCATTACAAAAAAAAATCAGCCCTATATCTATATTCTCTCCAATTGATAAATGTCCTTGGTCACATCTTTCCATTGATTTGATTGGGTAACTGTTTTCTCTTCCAGCCAGTGGAGCTGAGCCTGTCAACAAACTGATGTACATTCTGGTGCCAGGAATAATCGTTCCATTGGCCCTCATCATCCTAATCGCTGTTGTTTGTTTGTGTCAGAAAAAGAATGAAAAGGGTGCTAATAGCAAGGGCACAAACTCTTCCCAGAATTCCACTGTGGAAACTGTGCCATTAACTGGAAAAAATCCAGGATGCAGGATAAGAGAATTCCCATTGTCTTCTATAAGATTTCTACAAGAACTGGGTGAAGGGGCATTTGGAAAAGTATACAAAGGGGAAGTGATGGGATTATATGGAGATAGCACTGTGTCCAAAGTTGCCATTAAAACATTGAAGGAAAATGCCACGCCAAAAGTCAAGAATGACTTCCGAAGGGAAGTGGATCTGATGACAGAACTTCGCCATCCTAACATTGTGTGTTTGTTGGGAGTTTCAATGAAGCAGGAACCCATGTGTATGTTGTTTGAATTCATGCCCTATGGAGATTTACATGAGTATCTTCTTACTCACTCACCAAATTCTGACATGTCTAGTGTGGATGATGAAAGTGGAAAGAGGATCATTCTGGAATATCCTGAAATGTTGTTCATTGCAATTCAAATTGCAGCAGGAATGGAGTATCTTGCAAGTCATCATTTTGTGCACAGAGATCTTGCAGCTAGGAACATCCTGGTCGGAGATAATTTATCAGTGAAGATATCAGACTTTGGTTTATCCAGAGACATATACTCATCCGACTACTATCGTGTGCAGAGCAAATCCTTATTACCTGTGAGATGGATGCCTTTAGAGGCTATTTTGTATGGAAAATTCACCACAGAAAGTGATATGTGGTCTTATGGAGTGGTGCTGTGGGAAATTTTCAGTTATGGACTCCAGCCTTACTATGGCTACACAAACCAAGAAGTGATAGATGTAGTAAGATCTCGCCAAATCCTACCCAATCCCGAGGATTGTCCCCCACGCATGTATGGCCTTATGGTTGAATGCTGGCATGAAAACCCAACAAGGAGGCCAACATTCAGAGAAATTCATGCCCGTTTGCGTGCTTGGAAAACTGAAGTCCTCATGCAGAATCCTCACTGGAGCTTGAGTCAGACTCACTCCGCTCACAGTGGAAGTACCCACCAGAGCTCACAAAGTGGACCTAGTCACCACAGCAGTACTGGGCCCAGTAATACAACAGCATTGACAGGACTGACAGGAAGTAGTGGGGGGTCCGAGACCCCAGCCCAACACCCACAGGTCCAAATGATGGACCCTCGTTACACAGACTTACCAAGAGTGCATTACACCCCAGCTCAAGCTGGGCCCATCCAACCGCAAATGATGCAGTCCCCTGTCCCACCCAATTACCCAATGGCACATCCTCCAATGGGTAACCATCAGAAATTACAACAACAACCCTTGTACCCAGTTGTAGGCCAAAATGGCCCTCAAAAAATCTCTCCTGCAGAATCTGTAGCATCCAGTCACAAGTCGTCTGCTAGTTCTGGATCACAAGACTCAACTGCAAACTACAAATCAGTTGGCCCGGCCACTATCCCCCACACACAGGTGGGGGGTATGAATAGTGTACCCAATGGGTCAGCTGTGGCCAATGGACCATCAGACTGTCAGAGATTCAATAACTTGATGGCACAAAATGTGTACATTCCCGACCAGAGGACGGCGGATTATCATGAGTGAATAGCAGTGCATTTTGTGGTGTAACCCTTTTTTGTACATTTATACTCACTGAATCAAAATATTATCTGAAGTATTTTGTTGTGATGAACAGAAATAAACAGTTCAAACAAACTGCAGTTTTAAACTGCACCAGCTTCAGCAAATGCTGATGCTTTTTCCTTGTGCTTATAAACATATGAACTCCAAGTATCTATAATTAAAAGATTGCCAACAAATTTTGTACAAGCATAGCATTTGCAAGATCCATTGACATCATGAGGCATGTTTGAAAGCCAGACATTATATATATGTAATTTAATGTCTTTCTTCTATTGTGTTGTCAGTATTGTTTGACATTATATATAATTTCAGGTGTTTTGTCAATACTGACTAAACAACTGACATTTTACGTAATTTAGTGTCTTTCTAGTATTTTTGTTTCAGTATTTTTTTTAAAGGAAAAACAATGGGTATTTGTGTTTGTTTGAATGTTTCTTTAAAGATATACCAAAGCAAATAATTTTTCTAGTCAATGCCTTGAGATTTTGAGGCTCTCTGCATAATTGTTCTACTGTAGAAATTGTTAAGATGTACTCTATGTTCAAACATTTTAATGTTCTATTGTACTTGGCAATTACGTGAAATATTGAAGGGTCCAGCAAGAAAGATTGGTCAAAGTGCCATGAACAGTTAAATATTTTTCTTGCCATTTATTATATGGAATGTAAACCAATATTTTATACAAGAAACTTAAATTTATAAACTTAATAAAGTAGACCAACATGTCTGATGACTCAGAGCAAATGATTCTTCAAATAAATTAAACACTGCTTTCAGCCCAATATTCCAACTAACAATGCATTTTTTACAATTTATTTTGTCATTTTTACTGCAGAAACACTTAAAATCTCCACTTTCTTGTCATAATGTAACATTTGACAATATTTTAATTCTGAAATCTGTCAAACATTGGAGATAAATTAGAATCAAATTTTTAAAACATGAGTCCAGGCAACAGAAATATCTCTAAATTTATACATTGTTTATAATTTAAGGATCCTCTTTCCAAGTTTCTATTAATTTCAGCCTATTGTAAACTTACAAGCACCAAGCTCCCTGTATCAGTAGACTTTGTTAATCTGGTTGCTTAGTTTACATTCAGAATGAGTTGCGTAGTTGTTATATGACTGATTTTGAGTGTGGAAGTGAAGTGAGGAAATGAAATGAGACAAACATGACAAAATTAAGGGTATTTCTCAATGGTGCTTATGTCAATGTTGTTGTCATAGTAACCATATATATTTAAACATAAATCACACAAGCTTGTATTAAGGAATGACTTGATTTAATGTCTGTTGCGACTTAAACATCTGGAGTCTAGTGTCCGTCCATATCTACAAAGGATTAAATTGACTAAAAGTTATTCATGTATCCATGGCTATTGATTTTCGTACAAACTTTGTAGTGTGTAGATTGATTCTGTTGAAATCCTACAAAGCCTTGACTAGTTAAATCCAAATATATTACAGTACTTAAAATATCAGTCCTTACAAAATTTTATACATAGTAAAATTCTTCGAACAAACTGCTGAATTAAAGATAAAAAGATAATAATGTAGAGGAATGTTTAATTACTTGAGTGTTTGATATGAATTTCAATGTAAGGTTAAAGCAAAAATTTAACTGATTGCCAAAAAAAAAAATCATTTTGAATCCGGCAAGTATTATGCTACTAAAGTTAACTTCCAGGATACAGATTTCTTGTGGATCTGTTTCTAAAACTGTACCATATTTTTTGTCTTTTCTGATGTAAATTCTTTTTTTATGTGTTGTAAAATGGGTTTTTTAAAGCAAATATTTCATTTAAAGTTGAATCTGAACATATGAAAATATCATAATTAATCACCAGACAATCAAAGGTATATTTACCAAATGCTAGACTCAACCATTTTCATGACTGTGAGGAATTATAAATTTTGTTGTATGTATCATTAGTCTGTGTTTGAAAAAGTGCAACTTAAAAACTTGTATAATTCTATATTTTGATATTTTTTTCAATGGTGCATTTTTTTATTGCTTTTGTAAGCTTCTCATAGACAAGTATACCAGATAGATGCTACATCCATCATTATACCTGTATATAGGTCATCCAGAGGTCAGCTAAACTAGGTGCTAAATGTTAGCTTCTGTGGTTAGAATAGCTGAAGATTTCTCTCTGTAACATTTTTCAATCAGCCCAAGCTGCCTACCTGCTGGCATGTTGAATGATAATGTATGTGAGATTTATCATTTTCACAGCCAAATAAAAATGTTTGATAATCTCATTTTGTTTTGTGTGTTCATACTGGACAAGAAGGAAATGAAATCACATAGGACCTGAACATTTGAGATGGAACAAGGCAAAAGTAGTTAACATTCTTCAAGTATTCTTCAACTCTTAGTATATAAAATAAGTCTAAAATAAGTCAACTTTGAATTCAATATTACTCATATATTTTATTCAGTAAAATGAAACAAAGGAATGTCTCTGTAGAAATTTATCTGTCCATCAGAATATAGTTCAGATGTTCTTCAATCATTAATAGACATTTGATCAAGTTTCATCATGGTATGCATTTGTTCTTGAGAAGTTAATATTGTAATAGTCCATAAAATTCTTTCTGCTTAATAAGAATAATGTACGTACATGTAGGACAGAAAGATGTATTTGAATGCTAAATACAGTCAAACCTTATTATCTCGAACTCAATGGGACTGAGAAAAAACTTTGAGATATCCGAGGATTCGGGATATCAGGGGTGAAATACTTGAAGAATAAGTGGTTGGAACTTCTAAATCACTTCGAAATATCCATGGTGTTCAAGCTATCAGTGTTCAAGATACTGAAGTTCAACTGTACTAAAGAAAATATTCAGTATGCAGGTAATATTTTTGCCCATCCCACAACCTTAGATTCTCCACAAAACATTTTTGTGTATGGATCTATATGACAACTTCAACAAAATGATGATCACTTTCATATTATAGTTATTTAGACTATTTAGAAACTATGCTGAGTAAACAGTCAGGACATTTATACCTCTTTCTCAAACTCCTATTTGGTACATAAAGTGATCATGTGACTCAACTGTATATTAAATAACATTAACTTTTCAACAAAAAGGGTCTTGTACTTGAGGAAAAAAGATACAATTATAACAATTGATATACATTTATAAGAAAAACAAATATCATATTATATGTCATTATAACAATTAATATACATTTATAAGAAAAACAAATATCATATTATCTGATATGAGGTTTAACAGAAACAAAACAAAAACAAACTCAAAAATATCAAATTGATAACAAACTCAAAATGTACACATGGAATGCACTGTAATGCTAATTTATTGGAGCCTAAATAAAAAAATAATCTTTCACTCGATGAAAAATAATTTTAGGATTTTCTATAAATAATACCTGACATGCATGTATACTGCCAATGTTTCTAGCTATGTTACATTTTTTAACAGAACAAAAGATTTTTTTAATTGTCACACATACACAGTAATCTCCCTTTTTTTGGTAAAAGGTTTGGAAAAATGATACAAAAACACTAAAACATTAATATACAAACTAAGATGAAGTTATGCTTGATTAAGAGACTAATTACAGTAAACTCAGAATTACTTACAAAAAAATACAAAACATTTCTCTAAAATGTCTTAAAATGTTCCTAAAATTAACTTTCCTTTTTATTCATTTTCACTGCTTTACAATGATGATGGTTACCAAGGATGTCGCTTGGCAAAAGAAACTCGAAGTGAGGCTCCACAATGGGGACATTTAGGGTATGTTTTGATGTCCTTCTTTGGAATGTGCCAACAAGCACTGCATCTTATGCGGTACTTTTTAAACCTGAAAATTACACTTAGCCTTTAAAAACTTTAAAGTGTTATAACTTAAAATAAAAAAAAAAATGCTTTTGCAAATATGGTGCTTGATATATGTCATAAGTGAGCCAACCAGCCCTGGCAATATTATTGGGATATTTTTTTTATAATAGAAGTTGGGGAAAATAACTGAGTACAATTGAGCATTTGTAATCTCCACACCAATAATTCAGAAGCTTCACCACACAGCGCATTGGACAAACTTTGTGCAAAGCAGAAATTAAACTTTTAAATATGAGCAGTAAATGTATACTTTATTTCTGTATCTATTTTTTTCATATAGCTTTTTCTTATTTAGGAGATATGTAAAATGTATAGTGAATCAGCCTTTATACGAATTAATGCACATGTAATAGGTATATTATAGTAATCTGTACACTTAATTAATCCAGAATTGGATTGGAATTAATTAATAATTGGAATTAATTAATCAGATGATTTGCTCAGGAATTAACACAGGCATTTGGATTAAAGAGGCTCAACTCATTACTGTACATCTTCTTGGTAAACTATGAGATTAAAATAGATTTTTCAGCACAATTTTAAAAGTCTTCTTATTGAAAATAGAGAAATCATGGGCACAATTCCAAAAGTCTAATAAAGAACAGAGAAATAGTCTCACCTGATTCCACAGGCATTACAGAGGGGTGTGCCATCATCAGCATCCCTCCAGAGAGGGGTCCGGTGGGTCCCACAGGAAGCACAGATTTTACCTGAAATATTTGTAAAACAACTGTAATAATACTTCAACACTTTGAATGATATATAACAGGGGTAACAGGAAAGGAGATGGTAGACCAGACAAGAATTTAAATCCTAAGATTAAAGTAATATTGTTATTAATCACAGAAGTGGTTGATAATGTAAGATTAACACATTTTTGTATGTGAAAAACAAACATAAGACTTTTTAAATAGATACCCAGGCTCCCTGAACACCAGACAGGTGCTCGACTAAACATCAAGCACTGACAATGAACCTGCCTGCCAATTTCATATTGCTCCTCCTTTAATATTTTTGTTCCTGAATTTTATATGCCTTCTTTGCTTTTTTTAGACCAAGGATTTATTTAGACCAATTACAAGTGTATTTAAATGATTTTGAAGGTTGCAGGTGAATAATATACTGTAAATCACCCGAGTAATAGGTATCCTTTGGGAATGGAATTGTATTTTCCTCATCAGAGCCACTCACAGAATCAGCATTGGAGTAGGACCCACTGTGCTTACGTTTTCTGCAGGTCTGGTGCTTGTAGATTTTTACATTACTGAAAATAGATACAGTAAAGCCTCAATATGTCAAACTTGATGGGACCATGCAAAAACAAACTTAGAGAAATCCAAGGATTCCAAATATCAACTTTCAATTAAAAATATACATAAAGTAAAAGGAGGTTTGGACTTCCACCTAATTTTGACATATCCATGGTATTCTAAATAATATTCTTGATGTTTAGGATACCAAAGTTAAACTATAACATATATAGTAACATATTATATATATGTTATATGTGGGGAAATATGGTACATGTTGTACCTGTTGGCTGATGAAATGAAAAAACAAGATGTGTTTGTGAAACACCGATGCCTCTGATGGCAGCTTATGGCAAAGGTTAAAGTTTCCAAATGCAAATCAAACTCCAAGGTCAAGAGATCAAAAATGTTGTTACCCAAAGAAAGGACTTGTGTCAATGGATAAACCAGGCCAATATGAAAGCTCAAGCACTAACCATTCAACAGTTATGGTCAAGGTTAATGTTTTCTTAAAGTGGGTCAAACTCCAAGGTCAAGGTCAAAGGGTCAAAATTAATGGTAGTGGAAGATCTTGTTATAAGAAATACACATGTGAAATATAAAAGCCCTTGCACCAACTGTTCAAAAGTTATTGCATAGGATAAAGTTTATCAAAAGTAGGTCAAACTTCAAGGTCAATGTCAAAAGTTCAAGATTTTTGGTATCCAAAGGAAGGTCTTGTCACAAAGAATATAGGTGTGATATTTGAAAGCCCTAGTACTAACTGATTAAAAGCTATGGCCAAGGTTTAAGTTTTTAAAAGTGGGTCAACTCTAAGGTCAAGGTCTAAAGGTAAAAAATATTTACACCTTTGAAAAGGTCTTGTCACAATGAATACACATGTGAAATATGAAATCCCTAGCACCAACTGTTCAAAAGTTATGGCCAAGGTTAAAGTTTGGTAAATTTTTGCAAAAGTGGGTCAAACTCCAAGGTCAAGAGGTCAAATATGTTGGTATCCCTAGGAAGGTCTTGTCACAAGGAATACACATGTGAAATATGAAAGCCATACTTAAATGAATCAAAAGTTATGGGCAAGGTTAATGTTTTTGTGGACAAACAGACAGACAGACAGATGGATGGACAGGGCAAAAACTATATACCCCCAAATCTTCGATTATGGGGCATAAAAACATTTTTATGAATGCTTTTTTACTCACCTGAAATGGGCTGATAAAGTCAGACTGCAGTTTTTATTTTTAATTTCTGTGTGTACAATTACAGTGGCACCTCTGAAGTTTGGGTCCAATCTTTGGGCGCTTTTAACTGGTATTTGAAGTTTCCTCGACCTTTTCACCCTCCTTTCCTGACCCTCTGAGTTCTTTGGAAATCCTTTATCTATCATGGGTTTTTCCTCCTCTGAATCGCTTTGAGTATTTCTGGAATCAAAAACGGATTTCCATAAAACAGGCAAATACTTGGAGAGCGGTACCCTTCTGGGATTTTCTCTTTCATTTTGGCTGTTCTCCTTTGACCTTCCACTATTAAATGACTCTAAGACATTGGTCATATCAACAAGAGGTTGCCGCAGAGGTAGCAAGATCTGGGGGTTATTCTGAAGATATCTTGAAGAAGGAACATCAGAATTACTTGATTTTTCAGCATTGGAGAGTTGTAATATACTGCTTCCCAAGTCTCTAATATTAACTGTAGGAAACTCATCAGGTTCCAGCTTAATTGGTGGAAATTTAACCACTGGATGATCGACTTGTACATATTCATTTTTCACTTCTGTTTCTGTTGCATATTCATATGGTTCTGCCTTGATGTTGCATGGATCCTGCTTTACTGTTGACAGATTTGTGGGTGGGAAATGAAGATGATCTAGCTGAAGTTTTGGAAGAGCATTAGGCTTTCTTTCAACAAAATCCGGAGGATGGTGATTGCTGAGTCTAAAAGGGGATACAATTTTTAGGTTTTTATGCATTGGAGTTGTCTGCTTATCCTATTGTCAGTTTTTTGTCTGTCTGCCTGCCTTTTTGTCTGTTTTGCTGTCTGTCTGACTTGTCTGTTAATGAGGTTCGCTCCTGAGCTTTTGAGCAGACTTATATCTTAACCTACATTTCAAAAATTCTGCATAAATATTTTAATTCTTACAATAATTTTGGATTTTACAATGCCAATTAAACTATATTCAGTTAAAACTCCATGATTAAATTCCATACCAAAAGCATTAATTGAGGAACTATATTTTGTGGCAGAAGGTTTTTTAGAAGAAAATGATCATTTTTTTCTCTTTTGAAGTATTTAAAGTATGTTAAGTTTGGATTCCTATTTTTACATGCAGTCTTCCCAAAGAGTTATTTTGTGCAGTGAACTGTTTTATACTGGTCCTAAATTATATATTAAATAAACTCTCATGAATTCTATCATCATATTTGATAAATGTAGCAAATATATTGTGAAAATCAAGAAAAAAATATCCCTATTTTAAGCTAAAAATAAGCACTATTTTAGTAATATCTAAAAAATAACATCACAGACTCCCACTTTATATTTTCTTTTCTGAATATATAAGATACTTTTAACCATTCTTCTTAAATTCAGCAAAATGTCATTACTTTCAAATGAAATTTTTGCTTCTTTAATATTTAATGCCAGAAAAATGAAATTTTATGAGTGCAAAAAGGTCAAATGATGAACATGCGGAGTAATTTGAAATTTTTTTTCGTTGTCACAAATTTTAATGTGTCTGTTCAAGATGAAATAAGACTGTGTTTGTTCCCATAATTTATTTGAATAAAAAATATTGGAGGAAAAACTTTAAAAATTGATTTATGTGTAAGACAAAGGTCAAACTAAATGCTCTGTAGTGCTAAAAGAAGCGCATTGACATCCATTTTTTGTTTTGATTTTTAATAAAGCTATGTGTATAAATTCTAAAAATATCCTTGATAAAAAATTCTCATTACTTTTGATGGCAGGATCCAACCTCCTTAAGCTGTCTGTCTACCTGACTTGTCTGTATAGCTGTCTTTCTGCCTGACTCATCTATTTAGCTGTCTTGTCTGTCTGACTTGTCTGTTTAGCTGTCTGTCTACCTGACTTGTCTGTATAGCGGTCTTTCTACCTGACTTGTCTGTTTAGCTGTCTATCTACCTGACTCATCTTTTTAGCTGTCTTGTCTGCCTGACTTGTCTGTTTAGCTGTCTGTCTTATTGTCTTTTTATCTTGCTCACACTCTATAAAGCTGTTAGTCTGTTTATTTCATTGTCTAATTTTTATCTTTCTGCCTGTCTAATTTTCTAATTAACTGTTTGTCTTATCATCTGTTTAACTGTTTGTCTGTCTGTCCTATTGTCTGTTTAGCTGTCTATCTGCCCATCTTACTATCTACTTAGCTGTCTGTCTTATTGTTTGTTTAGCTGTCTGTCTGCCTATCTTATTGTCTGCTAAACTGTCCATCTTATTGTATACTTAGCTGTCTGTCTGTCATATGTCTACTTAGCTGTCTGTCTGTCTTATTGTCTGCTTAGCTGTCTGTCTGTCATATTGTCTGCTTAGCTGTCTGTCTGTCATATTGTCTACTTAGCTGTATGTCTGTCATATTGTCTACTTAGCTGTCTGTCTGTCTTATTGTCTGCTTAGCTGTCTGTCTGTCATATTGTCTGCTTAGCTGTCTATCTGTCATATTGTCTGCTTAGCTGTCTGCCTGAAAATAAGCATGTCTACTTAGCTGTCTGTCTGTCCTATTGTCTACTTAGTTGTCTGTCTGTCATATTGTCTGCTTAGCTGTCTGTCTGAAAATAAGTATGTCTACTTAGTTGTCTGTCTGTCATATTGTCTACTTAGCTGTCTGTCTGTCATATTGTATACTTAGCTGTCTGTCTGTCATATTGTCTGCTTAGCTGTCTGTCTGTCATATTGTCTACTTAGCTGTCTGTCTGTCATATTGTCTACTTAGCTGTCTGTCATATTGTCTGCTTAGCTGACTGTCTGCCTATTTTATTGCCTGCTAGCTGTCTGCCTGTCTCTCTTATTGTGCTATCTGCTGTTTATTGTAACTATCTGCCTGCCTGTTTTATTGTCTGTTTATCTGTCTGTCTGTCCATGTTATAGTTTGTTTAACTGTATGTCTGCCTATATTATGATCTGTTTAGCTGTGTGTCTTATTGTCTATTTAGTTGTCTGCCTGCATGTGCATTGTCTGTTTAGCTATCTGTCTAACTTTCTGTTAAGCTGTCTGTTTGCCTCTATTATTGTCCACTTAGCTGTCTGTCTGCCTGTATTTATGTTTGTTAAGCTGTCAATCCTCTAGTCTAATTTCTTTTAGCTATCTGTTTGACCATCTTATTGGTTGCTTAGCTGTCTGTCTGTCTTATTGTGTGTATAGTTTTCTGTCTGCTTGTCTTGTTGTCTACTTAGCTGTCTGTTTGCCTGTCTAATTGTTGAGTTAGTTGTCTATCTGTCTGACTTATTGTCAGTATTCTGTTATTGTCAGTAATCTGTCTGCCTGTCCTATTTTTTTTTCTTTCTGTTTATCTCAAACAGTCTTACAGTCTTTTCAACTGCCTGTCTTATAAATTATTTAGCTGTTTACTATTTTATTGTCTGTGTAGCTGTTTTTCTGTTTGATTGTCTGTATAGCTGTTTCCTCTGTCTGCCCTATAGTCTATATAGCTATTCATCAGTCTAATTAATTGTATGTTTAACTGTTTGTCTGTGTTATCATCTGTATAGCTGTTTGTCTGTTTTATTGTCTTTTGGACTGTTTATCAGTCTGTCTTGTCATCTGTATTACTATTTATCAGTCTCATTGTCTGCCTGTCTTCTTGTATGTTTAGCTGTCTGTCTGTCTTCTTGTCTGTTAAGCTGTCTGTCTGTCTGTCTTTTTGTCTGTTAAGCTGTCTGTCTGCCTGTCTTCTTGTCTGTTAAGCTGTCTGTCTGCCTGTCTTCTTGTCTGTTAAGCTGTCTGTCTGCCTGTCTTCTTGTCTGTTAAGCTGCCTGTCTGCCTGTCTTCTTGTCTGTTAAGCTGTCTGTCTGCCTGTCTTCTTGTCTGTTCAGCTGTCTGTCTGCCTGTCTTCTTGTCAGTTAAGCTGTCTGTCTGCCTGTCTTCTTGTCTGTTAAGCTGTCTGTCTGCCTGTCTTCTTGTCTGTTAAGCTGTCTGTCTGCCTGTCTTCTTGTCTGTTAAGCTGTCTGTCTGCCTGTCTTCTTGTCTGTTAAGCTGTCTGTCTGCCTGTCTTCTTGTCTGTTCAGCTGTCTGTCTGCCTGTCTTCTTGTCTGTTAAACTTTCTGTCTGCCAAGCTTATTATCCATTTGGCAGTCTGCTTGCCAATCTTATTGCTTGCATAGCTGTTTAATTGTCTGTATCACTGTTTGTCTACCTGTCTTACTTTTTGTTCAGCTGTTTGTCTGTCCTATTGTCTGTTTAGCTGTCTGCCTGACCTATTGTTTGTTTAGCTTTCTGTCTGTCTTATTGTTTGTTTAGCTGTCTATTTTCCTGTTTTATTGTCTACTTAACTGTTTGCCTGCCTGCCTAATGGCTTGTTTATCTGTCTGCCTGTCTTATTTTTATGTTTAGCTGTCTATTTTCCTGTTTTATAATCTACTTCAATGTCTGCCCGCCTGTCTAAATGTTTGTTTAGCTGTCTGTATGTCCTATTGTCTGTTAAGCTGTCTGCCTGCCTGTCTTAGCTGTCTGCCTGTCTTATTTTTATGTTTAGCTGTCTGTTTTTCTGGTTTATTGTCTGTTTAGCTGTCTGCCTGTCTTATTTTTCATGTTAAGCTGTCTATCTTCATGTCTTATTTTTTGGTTTTGTTGTAAATCTGCCTGTCTTAATGTATGCTAAACTGTCTATCTATCTGTGTTTTTGTCTGTTTAGCTGTTTTATGTATATTTTGCTCTCTGTCTGCCTGTCTTATTGCCTAGTTATCTGCTGTCTACCTGTCTATTTCCTACTTATCTGTCTGTCTGTCTTATTGTCTAGTTATCTGCCTGTCTCTCTATCTAATTGCCTACTTATCTGCCTGCCTGTCTTAGCTGTCTGCCTGTCTTATTATCTAGTTATCTGACTGTCTCTCTATCATTGTCTAGTTATTTACCTGTCTCCCTGTTGTATTGTTTAGTTATCCGTCTGTCTGCCTGTTTTATTGTCTAGTTATCTGCCTGTCTGCCTCTCTTATTGCCTACTTATCTGCCTGTCTCCCTGTCTTATTATCTCATTATATGTCTGTCTCCCTGTCTTATTGTCTAGTTATCTATCTCCCTGCCTTATTGTCTTGTTATATGTCTGTCTCCTTGTCTTATTATCTACTTATCTGCCTGTCTCTCTGTTATTGTCTAGTTATTTGACTGTGTCTCTACTCTATCTTATTGTCTAATTATTTACCTGTCTCCCTGTTGTATTGTGTACTTATCCGTCTGTCTGCTTGTCTTATTGCCTAGTTATCTGCCTGTCTCCCTGTCTTATTGTCTAGTTATCTGCCTGTCTCCCTGTCCTATTGTCTAATTATCTGTCAGTCTGCCTGTCTTATTGTCTCATTGTATGTCTGTCTCCCTGTCTTATTGTCTAGTTGTCTGTCTGTCTGCCTGTCTTATTACCTATCATCTGCCTGTCTCCCTGTCCTATTGTCTAAGTTATCTGTTATATGTATGTCTGCCTGTCTTATTGTCGAGTTATCTGTCTGTCTCCCTGTCTTATGTCGAGTTATCTGTCTGCCTGTCTTATTGTCTAGTTATCTGTCTGTCTCCCTGTCTTATTGCCGAGTTATCTGTCTGCCTGTCTCATTGTCTTAGGTTTTCTGTCAGTCTGCCTGTCTTATTGTCTAGTTATCTGTCTGTCTTTCTGTCGTATTGTGTAGCTATCTGTCTGACCTAAACAAACTTGAACGTACAATATATGAAATTCGACAATTTATGCATTTCTACAATAGAAAAAATACAGGAGAAAAC